TGATCGGCAGGCTCGGTGAAGCGCGAGCTTCCATGGGAGACGTATGCGGATCGCGGGCAACGCGCTGGCCAACACGTCTACGAACGTCGGCGGGGAGGGGGAATGGAGGAGGCGGGAGCAGGAGGAGCAAGGCAGTCCTCCTCCTTTTTACATGCTCGTTCTCCTCCTGGCCTCACATTCGTCCCCTCTGGCAGGGAGCAGGGACTAGCAAGGAGGAAGGAGAAGAGAGGACGACAAGACGCGGGATGAGCGCATTCCAGGGTCGATCGTTCCCCTCGGGACCCCTTCATGCCCTTCGAGCGATGTTTCTGTGATTGCGGAATCCAGGGGGCGTTCCTTTCCCAATCACCCCCCTCCCGTCCGGCCCCCCAACTCGGCTGTGGACAAACCTCCCTTTAGTGAACCACCCTTTTATGAAAACGGCCTGGGACCGAAACCGACGGACCTGGACCCGCAAAAATGACGGCCGCGACGCCTTCTCGCGAATCGAAAACGGCCAATTCGCGAATCGACGTGTCTGGATAGGAGGTTTATCGACCTACGACCAATTTGGTATGCCTCTTACCCTGCCAGACCCTCCCGAAACATCTCGGGCCGGAGATCTCCCGAGAGGGTGCGCGGCCATCGTGGCCAGAAGGCGCACAGACCCAGACCTCCGATGCCTTGATCTGCTCATTAGCACGGGTCACGGGAAGTCTGGACCGCCTCCCGAACGCGGGCTTTTCCTTGGAGGGAGGAGGAGGGAGCGCAACCACCGGAGTCCGACACCTCGGCTAATGTGAAACCAGCGTGCGAGCTACAGTCGGCCAGCAAGCCTGGGAGCCTTCTTTCTATTTCCCGCGATATATCGGCCGTCACCGGCCCCGCGCCACCCCCCGGGGTGACGTCCCGTTCCGCGCCAGCGGCGTCCAGGAATGCCCAGGGATGACCGAGGCCCCATAGGGGCAACGTGCAGGTGGCGATCTGCACCACAGCGCCTATGTATACCACACTGATCGCGTGCACCACAGCGTGCGTGTACACCACAGCGTCTGCGCACATCTCAACAGCTGTGTGCAATGCGGCGCCTGTGTACACCAAAGTGCTTGCGTGCACCCCAGCGCTTGTGTACACCACCGCGAACGTGTACACCGCAGTCGCTGTCTGCAACACAGCGCCTGTGTACACCACAATGTTTGCGTGCACCACAATGCCCGTGCACACCACAGCGCCTGTGTACACCACAGCATCCGCGTGCAACACAGCGTCGGTGTACACCACAACGCCTGCGTGCGCAGGACAAGAAAAAAGATCCCGTAAGTGAGGATCTGCATCGGACATATACATTCGCAATCTACAATGAGGATGCGCGGTAAGGACGCAAGAACCTTGGACGCCGAAGATGCCACTTTTGGGCGGCGAGTGGTCCACACCCGAAAAGGCTCGAGCAAGGACGCAATGGTACCCTACGGACTTCAGCGCGTCCTTACTATGAGTTTTGACTGTAAACGCAACGCGTAAAGAGTGATGAGGTCTTTCCCTCCTCGCGCCCCCATGCCACAGCTCCCCCCGCAGCACTGCCTCCGCACTGCCCCACGCCTCAAGCGAACTCCTTCAGAAATTACGATAATTTGGGGCGACTCAGGGCGCTCCGTTTTCCATAATGACTTATTGACAGATCCTGTATGACAAGTGTTTTGCGGAATCCACAGGCGCTGCATTTTGTCATAAAGACTCCCTTTTAAGGAAATGGTGATATGTTGCACACGGTTGCTGAGGTGCACACAGGCGCTGTGGTGTACACAAGCGCTGTGGTGCACGCCAGCACTGTGGTGTGCTGTGTTGCACACGGTTGATGTGGTGTACGCGCGCGCTGTGTAGACGCGCGCTGTGGTGCACGCAGGCACTGTGGTGCACACTGGCGTTATGTTGCACGCGGCTGCTGAGGTGTACATAAGCGCTGTGGTGCACACAGGCGCTGTGGTGCACGCGGGCACTGTGGTGAACACAAGCGCTGTGGTGCAAATCGCTAACTACGTGCTGTTGCTACCCGTCTCCGGTCATTCCTAAGCATTCCCAGACGCCGCCGTCGCGAAACTGACGTCACCGGCCTCCTCCCCCCCCCCTGGTGACGGCCGTCATCGCCCCGGAATGAAAAAACAGGCTCCAGAGCGCCACACAAGCCGACCTGCAACAGGCAAGCTCCTGCAGAGAACCTGGGCCTTCCTCCCGAGTCGTTGTTCGACGGCTCGGGGGGAGCCCAGCGAGGGTCCCAACCACGGGCGGACAACCTCCGCCCCGTCTCTCCCAGCACGTCGGGGGACTGGCGTCGCCGTCGTCGCCGTCGCTCTTGCCGCCGCTCCCGCAGCCGCCGCCAGCGCCAGCGGCTCCCACGCAGCAGGGCCGCGCGCTGCGCGGGCGCGCCTCGAAGCCGAGGGCACCGCCCGCGTTCCCGCCGCCGCCCCCGAGGTGGCCCCCCAGGCAGGCCGCGGCGGACGTGAAGGGCTCCTGCGGCGGGCAGGGTGGGTCAGCATCGGGTCGGAAGTCGGAGCCGGCGGCACGTCGAACGGCGACTCCCCCTCCTCCTCCGCCTCCGCCTCCGCCTCCGCCTCCGCCTCCTCCTCCTCCTCCTCCTCCTCCTCCTCCGCAGCCACCCAGGGAGTGTCTAAGATGGTGGTCCCGCGTTGGAACCACGTGTTTTCACGTGCCCAAGTCGCCCCCAGGGTGTATCTAACATGGTGGCCCCGCGCTGGAACCGTGTGTTTCCACGTGTCCACGCCACCCGATTGGATTCGAGCCCTCCGCTGCCTACTTACGTCAAGTACAGGGAGTACTGCAAGGTGTGGACTGTCCCGTACTTGTTCCACGTCTGAGCCGCGGCCGTTCTCCTCCTTCCATGTCTTCTCTGTTTTTGTCTCTCGTCGCCGCCTCTCTTTTTCGTCATTCCGTCCTCTTTTTCCGTTCGCTCTTTCGCCTTCCTCTGTTGTCTTCGTTCGCTCCCGCCTCTGCCGCGTTGCCGCTGTGCATCGCCTGTTCGGCTTCGCCACCATTGTGGCCTTCTTTTCCAGCGCTTTGCCGGCGACAGTTGCGTTGTGTTGGCTCTCGCTTGCTGTTCGACCCTTTTGATGTTGCGCGGGTGCCCGCCTGCGGTCGCGATTAAAAAATGTCCACGCCACCCAGAGGGGGTATCTAACATGGTGGTCCTGAGCTGGAGCCAGGTGCTTATACGGGTCCAAGCCACCTACGAGGTATCTAACATGGTGGTCCCGCGCTGGAACCATTTGTTTTCACGTGTGCAGGCCACCCAGGTGGGTATCTAACATGGTGGCCCCGCTCTGGAACCACGTGTTTTACATGTCCACGCTACCCAAGGGGGTATCTGACATTGTGGTCCTGCGCTCACGTGTCCAGGCCACCCAGGGAGGTATTTAACATGGTGGTTCCTCCTCCTCGTCCTCGTCCTCGTCCTCGTCCTCGTCCTCGTCCTCCTCCTCCTCCTCCTCCTCCTCCTCCTCCTCCTCCTCCTCCCTACTCACTCTCCCCATCCTCTTCCCTATTCGTCCTCCCCTCCCTTCTCGCGCCTTCCGAGGAGCCCCCTGGGGTTCTGGGGAAGGCCTAGAACCTGTGATAGATCTTCCACGAAGTACGGAGGCCGTCCGAGCCTTTTGAGAAAAACGGCCGCCTTGGCCCTGCCCGCTGGGCGCGCCGCCGACGAATCGAGCCGACCTGTGCGTCGGACCAGGCTGCGTCGGCACAAGACCGAAGTCGAATCTGATCGGCCGCGCCAGGGTGCACATCTGCAGTGCACGCAAAGGATCGTCGGAATACTGAAATCGAACTGGATCGAGCGGGCCGAAATCGACAACGAATCGGACCGATCAGATCGAAGGCCTATTGCTTCGAAGGCTCGTCCTGGAGGCCGGCCTGGACTGGAAGCGGCACGGGGGGGGGAGGAACGGGGGGGGGCGCATGGATCCATAATCGTTCTCGCTTCCTCCTCCTCCTCCTCCTCCTCCTCCTCCTCCTCCTTTCGATCCTTTCGATATAGGCTCTGTAGCGCCGCCGCCGCGGCGCTGCAGCCTCAGGGCGCCTGCTTGTGGGCGCTGTACTTCATGCTCTTCTTCTTGGCGAGGAGCCCCCCTCCCTTCGGCTCGCGAGCCGACGGGGGCCCACCTTCTCTCACATTGATCTCCTTTTCCTCTTGCTGAGCCACTGCCGACCTGGCTGGTCAGCGGCTCTGCCTCGCCTGGCACGCGAGGCGGCGGCCCCTCGTGGGTGCCTGCCATGGAGCGCGGTGTTCCATCTTCTCTTTTTTCTGGCGGCCCGCCCTTCGGCCGCTCTTGGGCTGCGGGCCGCCAGACTCCGGCTTCTCTCTTTCGGCTTGTCCTATCCTTCTGGCAGCCCGCCCTTCGGCCTGTTGGCTGCGGGCTGCCCATCCTCGCAGTGTTCTTGTCGTTGCCATCGTGGTCACCGCTGAAGTCCCCCATGCTGGCGTCGTCGCCTCTGCCGTCTGGTGGCCCGCCCTTCGGCCGCTCACGGGCTACAGGCCACCATTCTTTAGAGTCGCTTCTCGCGGCGGTGGTCAATGTCCGGGCTGCTGTGTCCTTTTTGCAGCCCGCCCTTCCGCCTTCTGGCTCCGGGCTGCCGTGGAGGTTCGTATCCGCGTTGTCGTTGTAGCTCATCTTCCCGAGTGCCTTTGAACTGCTTATGCTGTGGTCGATTTGCCATTGGGCTTTTTTCCGTCTGGTACTCCTCAGCCCCGCACGTGTCGAAAGCAATGTCAGCCGCTGGACGCCCTTGCCCACGTGGCGTCCTGTTGCCTGGTAGCCGCGATGGTACGCCGGGACTTTGCATTCTACCACCTCCCAGCGTGCGTGGCGACGTCTTGCCTAGTAGCCCTGATGGTACACTAGGACTTTGCGCTCTAACATATGCTTCCAAAACGAACTGATTCCCAAACGAAATCCGTAGTATTCGCAATAACCACTTTGCGAACTCTGCTCGTCTTTACTGCGCAGCGTCTAGTAATCGTACACGTGGTGGCTGTTGCACGAGTGTTCCTCGCTGTGGTCGTTGCTGGCGCTATCGCCGATGACGATATCCTCCTTGTGTGAGTAGCACAGGTACCCATCGTAGCTGGTGCGCATGTCGCTTGTTGGCGCTTCGCTTGCCACTGTGAATCCCCACCTTGTGATGATTATGTCGTCGAGCAGAGCCGCTGCGGCGAAGTCGAAGTTCTCGGCGGCTGTATCCTTCAACTGGGTTTCCTGCATGGGGGTTGCACAGTTGGCTATGATCCTGATGATGCCAAGCTCCTAGTGTCTGGCCGTGCTGGACGTGGCTGAGGCACGCTTGATGGTGTGGTGGCTCTCGGGCAGCGCCCAAAAGATAGAGTCCTCGGCGTGTACGATTAGGAAGGGAAGCCTCGCTTCGGAGGCGGCGCGGCGTGCACGATGGTGAGGACTTCTCCTGTGACTGAGTTGGCTGAGTAGAGCTCGTCGGCAATATGTTCCGGCATCGGCTGGCCCCCATGGCGTTACCTTTGAGCGACGGGTACTGGCGCGGTCGGAGTAATACCAGGTCCTTGTCGGCATCTCGGCGTATATCGCTGCGATCTCACCCTTCTGGATCCTGTCGCGCACGAGCTGGAAATCACGATATGATGTCGGTGCTTCGCAATCGCTGTTGGTGTCGATCGTGCAGTCGTCCATACCGCTCTCGCTGGCAACTGCGCCTTTAGCCATGATCTGTTGGAAGTCTCCTGGCTGCCGAGGGCGGTCGGTGATGAAGACCAAGAGTGGTCGCGTCACTGGCTCGGGTGTCTTAGGTGCTGTAGGTTGATGCTTAATCGGCTGGATGGCGGCGCATAGCTTGGGGAAGATCGGCGACGTCTCCAGGATTGGAAGCGGCGCGATGTCGATCTTGTAGGCTGGTATCCCGCTGAAGGTCGCGTGTCGGCCACTCTTCTTGTTGTCTGCCGTGGTCGTCGCGATGGCGCTGAGATTGTCGGCGATTTGCTGTCCGGCGGGGGGGTCCATCGCCATGGCGCGCCAAGCGTGCCAGGACTTGCGGCAGCGGTGGGCTGCCGCAAGGTGCTTCAGGAGCCTCGGGCAGGTGTGGAACTCCGTCTGGCAGCATCTACGCGCCGTGCCCGTCGCCCATCGTCGGAGTTTCTCGCTGTCCGCGTGGTCCCGTCCCATGTGCGCGGCCATGCCCTGCTCGGTGGCTGTGCGGCCGCAGACGTAGCATATGTATTTCGTCTCGTCGATGCCGTCGGTCAGGTCGGCCCCTTCGGTGCTCGATGAGATGATGTCGCGGGCATCTATATATCCTTCTGGAACCTCTCCAGCTGGGCCTGGTCGCGCATATAGAGCAGGTATGCCGTGGTAGCCGCCTTGACCGCGTTGGTGAAGTGCTCGGGTTCCAGGCGGGCCCAGGCGATAATGTCGCTGTATTGCAGGTCCTTGCTTGGCCACCTGTCTCGCGGGAGGTGCTTTCGGAAGAAGGCGAAGTCTTGCGTGATCATGTGGCCCCAGGTGCCCTTGCGCTGCCGCTGGTTATCAAGAAGCTGAGGTAAGATCGCAGGCGCGTGGTTCAAGAGCCGAGGTAGGTAGCCCAGTCGAGCTGCCATTTGGTGCGCGTCGGAATCGAGAACGCCAGTCCTCGCGATAGCCTCGCTGGTGGCGATGTGCTTGCCTGGTGTATTTGTATTGGGTAAGGGGGCGGCCACTCGGGAAGGACCCATGTATTTCGCAGCGATTTGGTCGCGGTCCTTCTTGTTCAGTCCATTCCAGACGCGGTGGTGGTAGGTCAGCGATGAGGTTGAGAGCGCGTGGGCGCATTTCAGCTTGGCCTTCGTTGGGAGCTTCTTGCGGCGGAGGATATGCTTCTCCATCGGGCGCGCTGAACCAAGCGCCCTGTTGACCCTGAGGCAGACTTCGGGGCCCATGGCCCCGCCCGCCGCGATGATTGTCCCGAGGGCCTTCTGTTGGGTCACGAGCTGCACCTTGATGGGGAGGCCGCCGAGCTCGATGAATGTGACCTTATCCTTGGCGATCTTCTGGCGCTCCTTTCTGGCCCCGCTGCCATAGTGCATGATTATGGCTTTCGTCTTGTCTGGGTGCGGCTTAAGTTCGTGCTGGCATGCTGCTGTGCAGTCTAGTGACTGATAATCGTGTCGTCTGGATCAGGTCGCAGACGCTGGCGGTCGAGTTGCAGTCTGCAACGTCGTCGACGAAGGACATGTTTCTAAGGCCGCCGAGAATAGTGGGTTCTCGCAAGCCTCGATGTTGTGGCCACCTGCCGGTAGGTCGCCATCTGCATCAGCGGTCGCAGCTTGGTCGATGGCTCTCAACACGATGGCGAAATGTGCGTTGAAGGCGACGTCGGAGCACGGCGCGCCGGGCCGAGCGCTGGTCCGTGGCAATTGGTAAATGGTTGGCGCCTTTTGCCGTCATCAACTTGGCGGCGTGGTGGCCGGCGATATGTAGCAGAGGTAGTCGTCGTCGATGTGTTGGTCGTTGTGGGCAGGGTGTTGTAATCGGTATTTCAGTGAGGGCCCGAAGAAATCAAGGATGTCGATCCGTTCGATGAGGCCGTTGAGCTCGTCGAATGATGTCGGCAATTGCATACATAACTCCCTGATTACGGAGTGGGGCGCCTCCCTGAGATTATGGAAGATTCGGCTGCAAGATCTCGCCCTGCGTTGACCAATAGATTGAATAATAGGGCCCCACACTGCGCTGCTTACCATAAATTCAATAATAGGCCCTTCACCCGTGGACGTAGGAAACCGCTGTGCACCTTCCCGATGGTGTCGTTGAGCAAAATGCCGCGGTGTGATTTCTGTTGTTCAACAACTCCCTGTCCTTTGTGGAAATGCGATGAGTATCCGCCCTTGGCAACGATGGGCTCGGTGCTCCCGATCTGTGTCTTGACGAAAACGGGGTGAAGGAGTCGGGCCATCCCTTCAGGGTCTGCTCTGGACACGTCGTCGGCGAGCTGGTCTGGTCCTCCTCGTCTTCCTCGCTTAGCGGCGGCCAGCTGGCTAGTGAGCTGGTGCTTCGGAATGATGTTGTGGATCTTCGGTGGTGGTCGAGTACTGCTGGTTCACATTTTGTAGTATTCGGCTGCTCCTTCGGCGCCCGTAGACTTGCTCATCTCGACCCTGCCGTAGTATGCCAGGGCGTGGTCGGCGATCTCAGTCCTGTGGTGAGAGGCTTGCCGTCCTCTGCGCTGCGGATGATGGGCGTGGGCGGCTTCTTGGGCTTTCGCCCTCCGTAGGCCAGTAGGCGCTTGGCGTGCAGGGCCTCTTGTCGCGGGGCGTGGTCGTCGATGGCGGTGCTGATTTGTTCGGCGGTCATCTCATGGGGAACGTTTCGATCTTCTTCGAACCACTTCTTGAGCAACGGATTAGTCGCCCTGAGGAACTGCGCGATGGCGTCGCATTAACTCTTGGCGTTGCCAATGCTGCTGGACGACGCTGCTCCCGCTCTGGGCGCGGCTCGGTCTGCTTGGTGACTGAGGGAGGGGGTGCTGAAGATGACGGAGGCGGTGGTGAGTTTGGCGTAGTCGTTGGTTCTGGTCAAAACATAGCGTCCTCTGGGTCAGGGAGCACGGCGCAGTGTGAGAGAAGCTTCGCGGTGTATCGGGGTTGCTCTGCACCGTGGAGGTTCGTGGTCCCGCTCTCCTTCGCGATGCGGGTCTTCCTGGGCAATGAACGGAGAACTCGTAGAAGAACGGATGAGCGCTTCGTGATGTAGGGCTTGTGAGGGGCACGGCCGCGGGAGCGGAAGCACACGTGCGCCGCCTTCGTTATCTTCTCGGCGATGGTTGCGAGGTGCTCGTTGATGTTGGTGTCCCAGGACGGGTGCTGGATGCCTTGGAGCTTTTGGCTGAACTCCTTGCGGCAGGCGTTGTTGGCCAGCTTGAATTCGTCTAGCTTCGGAATGTCACTGGTAAGCGAAGATGCGATATCCTAGGCAAGCTCCAGCTTGACGGGGTAGTGGTCGTCCTTGGCGTCGGGGTCACAGCCGTTGTCGATGTCGGAAAGGGCCGAGCATGCTTCAACCGAACCCAATTATCCAATCGGCATGATGACGTAGTCGATGCGGTGGGGTTCTTGCCCTGCCACGCGTTGCGCCCGGCCCCGTTACTGACGAACGCGCTAGCGGCAGCGAAATGATTGGGAGGAACAGCTCGTGGAGACGTCTTCTGTTAGGACCCTCTTTCTGCTGCGTGCCTTGGTCACCAATGGCAGTGCTGGCGATGTCGCCTGTTCTGGCGTTGGCGTCTATCAAGATAAATCCGATCTGGTACTTCTCAGTCGCCCCGGTGTGCCTCTTCCAAATGCTGGTCTTCTCCTCCTCGAGGGCTTTGGGGCGGGGGGCGTGTGGGCGGCTGCCAGTACTTGGGAAAAACCAGGTGCGCTCACGCGGATGATGAAAAGCCTGGGGTCATTCGCGATGATGATGAACTGGTCGGGCTTGAAGAATAAATGGCTCTCTCTTGTCGCACTTTCCGTAGGGCTTGGTGAGGGCGACGTGGGCCTCGCAGCTGTGGTTGCACCCCCATGTGGCCGCTGGAGATGACGTGGTTCGCGTTGGCGCAAGTTGCGTCGCTCTCTTTCTCGGAATCGCGGCCGCCCCAAGGCGCCCTGGCCTCCTGGATGCCGATGGCGTGTAGGTCCTCATCGTATAGGCTGGCCATGGTGGTCTTTAGCTTACTGAGTTTCTCCTTTCTTCGTTTCGCTCCTTCCTTAGGTTCCCGACCTGTCTGCATGTTGAAGGCCGCGATGTTGATCTCGATCTCTGTCTTGCTGACGCCAGGTTCTATCGGTTTGTGGAAGTGGCGTGCTTCGGCGGCCGTCTGGACGTTGCTCGCAGTGAGACTGCCCTGTCTGCAGGTGGGGTAAGCCCCCCTGGTGTTCTGACCCGCATCGAGCAACAACTCCCAGTATCGCTGGTACTTGCCGTCCAGTATGCTCGCCCATTCTTGCTGTGGAACTGGAACTGCGGAGACGCGAGCGTGGTTGGCGGCAGCGTCGGCGACTTCGCTCCAGGGATTGTGCTCGCGTGCGTGGACGCGCTGCAGGTCGAACTTCTGGCTGACCATGTCGTAGAAGAGACAGAGCGTCCTAACAGGGTCGGGGTCGTGGTCTGTGAAAGCCATCCGCTTCGCAAGCTGCAAGGCCCCCAGCGAAACGGTCGAGATCGTTACTAAGTCGTCGAGGTTGCGGTGAATAACACAGGCGAAAGCCCATATGTGCGCAATGACCTCGACGGTGGAGGAGGTGGTCTCCTTGTCGCTACTGTCCTTCTCTGCAACGTCGGTGCTGCTCTGGTGCTTCCCAACGATTGCCACTTGAAGCGTGAATCCGAGGTCGTCGTCCCCAACAAAGGTAGCGGCCCAGGCGTCGTCGTTCGGCTTCTTGGGGTTCTTGGAGCCGTCGGTGAAGAGTTGGAACTTTGTGTTTGGCTGCAGTGGTCGCGGTGGATGGTGGCGCAGCATGTACTCGGCGGTCTCGTTGAGGCATTCGTCGTGGAGTTCGAAGATGAGGGTTGGGTGGTGGGTTTGCTGCAACGTTTGTTTGCTGGTAGGTCGGGCGTCAAAGTCGACTCGGTGCTGCTGCTGTGGTGTTGGTGATGTAGGTGGTAGCTGCTGGTGGTCGGGTGGACGTGGTATCCCGGCGTTGGGCGCTCGGAAAGATTAGTCGCTTCCCCCGTCACCGTCCTTTTGGGGATAGCTTCCGTCTGATTCGGCAATGGTGGGGGGGTGGGCATGGTTGGTGCGGCTGTCCGGAATGCTCGCATGGCTTGTCCTCGTTTGGACTGCTGGTGCTGAGCTGGCGGTCGTTGGTATGTGAGTTGGTTTGGGGCGTCGAGTTGAGTGCTGCCGATGTTCTCCTATGCCGCGAATAAGGTAGCCTGTCTGCTGGATCGCGATGAGGTTGTTGTGGTCAGTCAACTCGCGTGACATTCGAGGTTCGGTCGCGATTGGTTGCTGTCGCAGTGTCGCTGGTGCTGTGGGTAGGTGTGGGCGAGGTTGTTGCTTGGGGAGGTTGCATGTAGTGGCGCTTGCATGTCAAGCTGGGCTTGCAGGCTGGACGGCGGTGGTTGCTCCGAAGCGGGGAGTCGAGAAATGCAATTTCGATGTCAGGGAAGTCGCGCGGGTTTAATCCGATGCTGAAGGCCACTTGTAGGCCCGAGGGAGACCCGCTAGGCCTCCTGGTAAGAGAAGTTGTTGGAGCTTGGTGGCCTGGGTGGCCTGGCCCATGCGAGTCTCCGCAGGTCGCGGGTCGGTCGGGCATGAATGGGCGCGGTGCCTCGTCCCTCGCTGGTCGCGCTCGCGGGGAGGTGGGCGCCTCGGGCTCGAGGCAGCCGTCGTTGCTAGCCCTGGGGCGTCGCCAGGGTCCACCCGTCTCGTCGCCGTGGTGATGGTCTTGGTGCACTACCTCGGCTGGAGGCAGTCCTTGCTACTGCTGCTTCAGGCTTTGCTGCGGCTGGCGCCGATTGGTCCCATTGCCGGGGATCCTGAAGAGACTTCCTGGAAGGAAAGGGGGCGGCGTTTGAAAGCCAATGGCGAGTCGCCTGGTGACTTCCGTGGCACGCGGGACGGTCGATACGCGGAAAGCTCGACGTCGTCGCCCTTGATGGCCGCGTCCTCGGAGTCACAAGCGCCTTGGGCTCGTGGGAGCCTTGTGGGCGCGTGGCGATGGGGCTGGCCCTGGGGTGTCTCCGAGGTCCAGCCGTCGCTTCGTCGTGTTGTTGCCTGAGTCTTAGGCTGTCATCGTCTGGTCGTGTAGCAGCCCCTGCTTGGCCAGGGGGCGGCTCTTCTGGTTTATCTCGCCCAGAAACACCGCTTGTGCCCCCCTGGCCTGCTGCTGTAGCTTGTCGTGACAGGTGGCCCCTGGCCGTGTGGCAGTCTCTGCTGGGCCAAGGGGGCGGCTCTTCCGGTTTGCGTCGCCCAGAAACACCGCTCGCGCCCCCCCTGGCCCGCTGCCGATCGTTGTCTGGTCTGGCAGAGGGTTGGCTCCCCAGTCCAGCGTGGGTCGCGTGGCAGTCTTGGCCGCAGCTTGAATAGATTGCCCACTCTCGG